CCTTATTTTTGTTTTTCAAATTAGTCCTCATTTTCATCCTCAAATCAGTTTCATCTTTGTCCTTAAATACGTCCTCATTTTCCTTTCAAGTTAGTCCTTAAATTCGTCCTCATTTTCTTACTCAAATTAGTCCGCAACTTAGTCTTTATTTTTGTTTTTTAAGTTAGTCCTCATTTTCGTCCTCAAGTTAGTTCTCATCTTTGTCCCTATATTCGTCCTCATTATCGTTTGAAGTTAGTAATGAACTTTGTCCTCATTTTCTTTCACAAATTAGTCCTCACTTCGTCCTCATTTTTGTTTTTCAAGTTAGTCCTCAAATTCGTCCTCATTTTCGTTTTCAAGTTAGTCCTCAAATTCGTCCTCATTATCGTCCTTATTTTTGTTTTTCAAATTAGTCCTCATTTTAATCCTCAAATCAGTTCTAATCTTTGTTCTTAAATTCGTCCTCATTTTCCTTTCAAGTTAGTCCTCAAATTCGTCCTCATTTTCGTTTTCAAGTTAGTCCTTAATTTCGTCCTCATTTTCGCTTTCATTTTCGTTTCTAGTTAAAGCTCAAATTCGTCCACTTTTTCGTTCTTAAGTTAGTCCTCACTTTGTCCTTATTTTCGTTTTTGAGTGAGTCCTCATCTTCGTCCTCATTTTTGTTTTTGAAGATAGTCCTCATTTTCGTTTTTAAAGTTAGTCCTCATCTTCGTCCTCAAGTCATTTCTCATCTTGGTCCTTAAATTCGTCCTCATTTCCGTTTTTGAAGATAGTCCTCATTTTCGTCCTTATTTTTGTTTTTCAAGTTAGTCCTCATTTTCATCCTCAAGTCAGTTTTCATCTTTGTCCTTAAATTCGTCCTCATTTTCGTTTTAAGTTAGTCCTCAAATTCGTCCTTAATTTCATTCTTAAGTAAGTTTTCATTTTTTCCCTCATTTTCGTTTGAAGTTAGTCCTTAACTTTGTCCTTATTTTCTTTCTCAAATTAGTCCTCAACTTCGTTTCCAAGTTAGTCCTCAACTTCGTCCTTATTTTCGTTTCAAGTTAGTCCTCAACTTCGTCCTCATTTTCGTTCATAAGTAAGTCCTAAACTTCGTCCTTATTTTCGTTTCAAGTTAGTCCTCAACTTCGTCCTCAGTTTCGTTCATAAGTTAGTCCTAAACTTCGTCCTTATTTTCGTTTTTGAGTTAGTCCTTAACTTCGTCCTCATTTTTGTTTTTCAAATTAGTCCTCAACTTAGTTTCAAGTTAGTCCTCATGTTCGTCCTCAAATCAGTTCTCATCTTTGTCCTTAAAAATTCGTCCACATTTTCTTTTCAAGTTAGTCCTCAAATTCGTCCTAATTTCCATTCTTAAATTAGTTTTCATCATTGTGCTCCTGAACTTTGTCCTCATTTTCCTTTCAAGTTAGTCCTCAAATTCGTCCTCATTTTCGTCCTTATTTTTGTTTTTCAAATTAGTCCTCATTTTCATTCTTAAGTTAGTTTTTATCATTGTCCTCATTTTCGTTTAAAGTTGGTCCTGAACTTTGTTCTCATTTTCTTTCTCAAATTAGTCCTCAACTTCGTCCTCACTTTCTTTCTCATATTAGTCTGCAACTTCGTCCTCATTTTCGTTTCAAGTTAGTCCTCAAATTCGTCCTCATTTTCGTTTTCAAAGTTAGTCCTCATTTTCGTCCTCATTTTCGTTTTCAAGTTAGTCCTCATTTTCGCTCTCATTTTTATTTCAAGTTAGTCCTCATTATCGTCCTCATTTTCGTTTTCAAGTTAGTCCTTAATTTCGTCCTCATTTTCGCTTTCATTTTCGTTTCTAGTTAAAGCTCAAATTCGTCCACTTTTTCGTTCTTAATTTAGTCCTCACTTTGTCCTTATTTTCGTTTTTGAGTTAGTCCTCATCTTCGTCCTCATTTTCGTTTTTGAAGATAGTCCTCATTTTCGTTTTTAAAGTTAGTCCTCATTTTCGTCCACAAGTTAGTTCTCATCTTTGTCCTTATATTCGTCCACATTTTCGTTTGAAGTTAGTCCTGAATTTTGTCCTCATTTTCTTTCTCAAATTAGTCCTCATTTTCTTTTTCAAATTAGTCTTCACTTTGTCCTCATTTTTGTTTTTCATGTTAGTCCTCAAATTCGTCCTCATTTTCGTTTTCAAGTTAGTCCTTATCTTCGTCCTCAAGTCATTTCTCATCTTGGTCCTTAAATTCGTCCTCATTTTCGTTTTTGAAGATAGTCCTCATTTTCGTCCTTATTTTTGTTTTTCAAGTTAGTCCTCATTTTCATCCTCAAGTCAGTTTTCATCTTTGTCCTTAAATTCGTCCTCATTTTCGTTTTAAGTTAGTCCTCAAATTCGTCCATAATTTCATTCTTAAGTTAGTTTTCATTTTTTCCCTCATTTTCGTTTGAAGTTAGTCCTTAACTTTGTCCTCATTTTCTTTCTCAAATTAGTCCTCAACTTCGTTTCCAAGTTAGTCCTCAACTTCGTCCTTATTTTCGTTTCAAGTTAGTCCTCAACTTCGTCCTCATTTTCGTTCATAAGTTAGTCCTAAACTTCGTCCTTATTTTCGTTTTTGAGTTAGTCCTCATGTTCGTCCTCATTTTCGTGTTTGAGTTAGTCCTCATTTTCGCTCTCATTTTTATTTCAAGTTAGTCCTCATTATCGTCCTCATTTTCGTTTTCAAGTTAGTCCTTAATTTCGTCCTCATTTTCGCTTTCATTTTCGTTTCTAGTTAAAGCTCAAATTCGTCCACTTTTTCGTTCTTAATTTAGTCCTAAACTTCGTCCTTATTTTCGTTTTTGAGTTAGTCCTTAACTTCGTCCTCATTTTTGTTTTTCAAATTAGTCCTCAACTTAGTTTCAAGTTAGTCCTCATGTTCGTCCTCAAATCAGTTCTCATCTTTGTCCTTAAAAATTCGTCCACATTTTCTTTTCAAGTTAGTCCTCAAATTCGTCCTAATTTCCATTCTTAAATTAGTTTTCATCATTGTGCTCCTGAACTTTGTCCTCATTTTCCTTTCAAGTTAGTCCTCAAATTCGTCCTCATTTTCGTCCTTATTTTTGTTTTTCAAATTAGTCCTCATTTTCATTCTTAAGTTAGTTTTCATCATTGTCCTCATTTTCGTTTAAAGTTGGTCCTGAACTTTGTTCTCATTTTCTTTCTCAAATTAGTCCTCAACTTCGTCCTCACTTTCTTTCTCATATTAGTCTGCAACTTCGTCCTCATTTTCGTTTCAAGTTAGTCCTCAAATTCGTCCTCATTTTCGTTTTCAAAGTTAGTCCTCATTTTCGTCCTCATTTTCGTTTTCAAGTTAGTCCTCATTTTCGCTCTCATTTTTATTTCAAGTTAGTCCTCATTATCGTCCTCATTTTCGTTTTCAAGTTAGTCCTTAATTTCGTCCTCATTTTCGCTTTCATTTTCGTTTCTAGTTAAAGCTCAAATTCGTCCACTTTTTCGTTCTTAATTTAGTCCTCACTTTGTCCTTATTTTCGTTTTTGAGTTAGTCCTCATCTTCGTCCTCATTTTCGTTTTTGAAGATAGTCCTCATTTTCGTTTTTAAAGTTAGTCCTCATTTTCGTCCACAAGTTAGTTCTCATCTTTGTCCTTATATTCGTCCACATTTTCGTTTGAAGTTAGTCCTGAATTTTGTCCTCATTTTCTTTCTCAAATTAGTCCTCATTTTCTTTTTCAAATTAGTCTTCACTTTGTCCTCATTTTTGTTTTTCATGTTAGTCCTCAAATTCGTCCTCATTTTCGTTTTCAAGTTAGTCCTTATCTTCTTCCTCAAGTCATTTCTCATCTTGGTCCTTAAATTCGTCCTCATTTTCGTTTTTGAAGATAGTCCTCATTTTCGTCCTTATTTTTGTTTTTCAAGTTAGTCCTCATTTTCATCCTCAAGTCAGTTTTCATCTTTGTCCTTAAATTCGTCCTCATTTTCGTTTTAAGTTAGTCCTCAAATTCGTCCATAATTTCATTCTTAAGTTAGTTTTCATTTTTTCCCTCATTTTCGTTTGAAGTTAGTCCTTAACTTTGTCCTCATTTTCTTTCTCAAATTAGTCCTCAACTTCGTTTCCAAGTTAGTCCTCAACTTCGTCCTTATTTTCGTTTCAAGTTAGTCCTCAACTTCGTCCTCATTTTCGTTCATAAGTTAGTCCTAAACTTCGTCCTTATTTTCGTTTTTGAGTTAGTCCTCATGTTCGTCCTCATTTTCGTGTTTGAGTTAGTCCTCATGTTCGTCCTCATTTTCGTTTCAAGCTAGTCCTCAACATCGTCCTTAAGTTAGTTCCCATCTTTGTTATCAAATTCGTCCTCATTTTCGTTTTGAGTTAGTCCTTAACTTCGTCCTCATTTTTGATTTTCAAATTAGTCCTCAACTTAGTTTCAAGTTAGTCCTCATTTTCGCCCTGATTTTTTTTCTTAAGTTAGTCCTCCTATTCGTCCTTATTTTTGGTTCAAGTTAGTCCTCGACTTCGTCCTCAATTTTCTTTCTCATTGTAGTCTTTTTTCGTCTGACAATTTTTAATAGCGATTAAAACAAAAAAGTTATACCTCTTTTTTAAAAAAAGGACAAAAACGGATGAAAAATGGGTAAAATGCTGGGCAAAATTACTTTATTTTGAGAAAATATGAGCAACTATGTATTATCTCTGTTTAAACCACCTTAAATTAACACAAATAACAGTGACTTCCCGCGTGGAAATGGAAGTATGGGGCAAAGATGGCAAAGTATGGCCAACTATGGGTTAAAGATGGCCAAAAGCTGACAAAGTATGGCAAAAGTATTGCTAATGAGGGAATCCCATAGTTCAAGTATGGCTTTAAAAAAACCCTTTTTTTAAAAAATTTTGAACTATGGGCGAACTGTGGGCCAAGTATGGCGAACTATGGAAGGCAAAAAAAATCATTTTTTTCACATTCTTCAAATATGGGCGAACTATGGGCAAAGTATGGCGAAGTATGGGAGGCGAAAAAAACACTTTTTTTTAATTTTTGAACTATGGGCGAACTATGGGCCAAGAATGGCGAAGAATAGGAGGCGAAAAAATCATTTTATTCGAATCTTCGAACTATGGGTGAACTATGGGCAAAGTATGGCGAAGTATGGGATGCGAGAAAATCTTTTTTTTTCAATCTTCCAACTTCCAACTTCCTCCAATCTTCCATAGTTGGCCCATAGTTCGCCCATAGTTCGAAAATTTAAAAAAAAGTGTTTTTTTCGCCTCCCATACTTCGCCATACTTGGCCCATAGTTCGCCCATAGTTCGAAAATTTAAAAAAAAGTGTTTTTTTCGCCTCCCATACTTCGCCATACTTGGCCCATAGTTCCCCCATAGTTCGAAAATTTAAAAAAAGTGTTTTTTTCGCCTCCCATACTTCGCCATACTTGGCCCATAGTTCGCCCAAAGTTCAAAAATTAAAAAAAAGTTTTTTTTTCGCCTCCCATACTTCGCCATACTTGGCTCATAGTTCGCCCATAGTTCAAAAATTTAAAAAAAAGTGTTTTATTCGCCTCCCATACTTCGCCATACTTGGCCCATAGTTCGCCCAAAGTTCAAAAATTAAAAAAAAGTTTTTTTTTCGCCTCCCATATTTCGCCATACTTGGCCCATAGTTCGCCCATAGTTCGAAAATTTAAAAAAAAGTGTTTTTTTCGCCTCCCATACTTCGCCATACTTGGCCCATAGTTCCCCCATAGTTCGAAAATTTAAAAAAAAGTTTTTTTCGCATCCCATACTTCGCCATACTTGGCCCATAGTTCGCCCATAGTTCAAAAATTAAAAAAAAGTGTTTTTTTCGCCTCCCATACTTCGCCATACTTGGCCCATAGTTCCCCCATAGTTCGAAAATTTAAAAACAAGTGTTTTTTTCGCCTCCCATACTTCGCCACACTTGGCCCATAGTTCGCCCATAGTTCGAAAATTTAAAAAAAAGTGTTTTTTTCGCCTCCCATACTTCGCCATACTTGGCCCATAGTTCGCCCATAGTTCGAAAATTTAAAAAAAAGTGTTTTTTTCGCCTCCCATACTTCGCCATACTTGGCCCATAGTTCCCCCATAGTTCGAAAATTTAAAAAAAGTGTTTTTTTCGCCTCCCATACTTCGCCATACTTGGCCCATAGTTCGCCCAAAGTTCAAAAATTAAAAAAAAGTTTTTTTTTCGCCTCCCATACTTCGCCATACTTGGCTCATAGTTCGCCCATAGTTCAAAAATTTAAAAAAAAGTGTTTTATTCGCCTCCCATACTTCGCCATACTTGGCCCATAGTTCGCCCAAAGTTCAAAAATTAAAAAAAAGTTTTTTTTTCGCCTCCCATACTTCGCCATACTTGGCCCATAGTTCGCCCATAGTTCGAAAATTTAAAAAAAAGTGTTTTTTTCGCCTCCCATACTTCGCCATACTTGGCCCATAGTTCCCCCATAGTTCGAAAATTTAAAAAAAAGTTTTTTTCGCATCCCATACTTCGCCATACTTGGCCCATAGTTCGCCCATAGTTCAAAAATTAAAAAAAAAGTGTTTTTTTCGCCTCCCATACTTCGCCATACTTGGCCCATAGTTCCCCCATAGTTCGAAAATTTAAAAACAAGTGTTTTTTTCGCCTCCCATACTTCGCCACACTTGGCCCATAGTTCGCCCATAGTTCGAAAATTTAAAAAAAAGTGTTTTTTTCGCCTCCCATACTTCGCCATACTTGGCCCATAGTTCGCCCATAGTTCGAAAAATTAAAAAAAAGTGTTTTTTTCGCTTCCCATACTTCGCCATACTTGGCCCATAGTTCGCCCATAGTTCGAAAATTTAAAAAAAAGTGTTTTTTTCGCCTCCCATACTTCGCCATACTTGGCCCATAGTTCGCCCATAGTTCGAAAATTTAAAAAAAGTGTTTTTTTCGCCTCCCATACTTCGCCTTACTTGGCCCATAGTTCCCCCATATTTCGAAAATTAAAAAAAGTGTTTTTTTCGCCTCCCATACTTCGCCATACTTGGCCCATAGTTCGCCCAAAGTTCAAAAATTAAAAAAAAGTTTTTTTTCGCCTCCCATACTTCGCCATACTTGGCCCATAGTTCGCCCAAAGTTCAAAAATTAAAAAAAAGTTTTTTTTTCGCCTCCCATACTTCGCCATACTTGGCCCATAGTTCGCCCATAGTTCGAAAATTTAAAAAAAAGTGTTTTTTTCGCCTCCCATACTTCGCCATACTTGGCCCATAGTTCCCCCATAGTTCGAAAATTTAAAAAAAAGTTTTTTTCGCATCCCATACTTCGCCATACTTGGCCCATAGTTCGCCCATAGTTCAAAAATTAAAAAAAAAGTGTTTTTTTCGCCTCCCATACTTCGCCATACTTGGCCCATAGTTCGCCCATAGTTCGAAAATTTAAAAACAAGTGTTTTTTTCGCCTCCCATACTTCGCCATACTTGGCCCATAGTTCGCCCATAGTTCGAAAATTTAAAAAAAAGTGTTTTTTTCGCCTCCCATACTTCGCCATACTTGGCCCATAGTTCGCCCATAGTTCGAAAATTTAAAAAAAGTGTTTTTTTCGCCTCCCATACTTCGCCATACTTGGCCCATAGTTCCCCCATATTTCGAAAATTTAAAAAAAGTGTTTTTTTCGCCTCCCATACTTCGCCATACTTGGCCCATAGTTCGCCCATAGTTCAAAAATTAAAAAAAAGTTTTTTTTCGCCTCCCATACTTCGCCATACTTGGCCCATAGTTCGCCCATAGTTCGAAAAATTAAAAAAAAGTGTTTTTTTCGCCTCCCATACTTCGCCATACTTGGCCCATAGTTCGCCCATAGTTCGAAAATTTAAAAAAAAGTGTTTTTTTCGCCTCCCATACTTCGCCATACTTGGCCCATAGTTCGCCCATAGTTCGAAAATTTAAAAAAAGTGTTTTTTTCGCCTCCCATACTTCGCCATACTTGGCCCATAGTTCGCCCATAGTTCGAAAATTTAAAAAAAAATGTTTTTTTCGCCTCCCATACTTCGCCATACTTGGCCCATAGTTCGCCCATAGTTCGAAAATTTAAAAAAAAGTGTTTTTTTCGCCTCCCATACTTCGCCATACTTGGCCCATAGTTCAAAAATTTAAAAAAAGTGTTTTTTTCGCCTCCCATACTTCGCCATACTTGGCCCATAGTTCGCCCATAGTTCGAAAATTTAAAAAAAAGTGTTTTTTTCGCCTCCCATACTTCGCCATACTTGGCCCATAGTTCGCCCATAGTTCGAAAATTTAAAAAAAGTGTTTTTTTCGCCTCCCATACTTCGCCATACTTGGCCCATAGTTCGCCCATAGTTCGAAAATTTAAAAAAAAGTGTTTTTTTCGCCTCCCATACTTCGCCATACTTGGCCCATAGTTCGCCCATAGTTCGAAAATTTAAAAAAAAGTTTTTTTTCGCCTCCCATACTTCGCCATACTTGGCCCATAGTTCGCCCATAGTTCAAAAATTAAAAAAAAGTGTTTTTTTCGCCTCCCATACTTCGCCATACTTGGCCCATAGTTCGCCCATAGTTCGAAAATTTAAAAAAAGTGTTTTTTTCGCCTCCCATACTTCGCCATACTTGGCCCATAGTTCGCCCATAGTTCGAAAATTTAAAAAAAAGTGTTTTTTTCGCCTCCCATACTTCGCCATACTTGGCCCATAGTTCGCCCATAGTTCGAAAAATTAAAAAAAAGTGTTTTTTTCGCCTCCCATACTTCGCCATACTTGGCCCATAGTTCGCCCATAGTTCGAAAATTTAAAAAAAAGTGTTTTTTTCGCCTCCCATACTTCGCCATACTTGGCCCATAGTTCGCCCATAGTTCGAAAATTTAAAAAAAGTGTTTTTTTCGCCTCCCATACTTCGCCATACTTGGCCCATAGTTCGCCCATAGTTCGAAAATTTAAAAAAGTGTTTTTTTCGCCTCCCATACTTCGCCATACTTGGCCCATAGTTCGCCCATAGTTCAAAAATTAAAAAAAAGTTTTTTTTCGCCTCCCATACTTCGCCATACTTGGCCCATAGTTCGCCCATAGTTCAAAAATTAAAAAAAAGTTTTTTTTTCGCCTCCCATACTTCGCCATACTTGGCCCATAGTTCGCCCATAGTTCGAAAATTTAAAAAAAAGTGTTTTTTTCGCCTCCCATACTTCGCCATACTTGGCCCATAGTTCCCCCATAGTTCGAAAATTTAAAAAAAAGTTTTTTTCGCCTCCCATACTTCGCCATACTTGGCCCATAGTTCGCCCATAGTTCGAAAAATTAAAAAAAAGTGTTTTTTTCGCCTCCCATACTTCGCCATACTTGGCCCATAGTTCGCCCATAGTTCGAAAATTTAAAAAAAGTGTTTTTTTCGCCTCCCATACTTCGCCATACTTGGCCCATAGTTCGCCCATAGTTCGAAAATTTAAAAAAAAGTGTTTTTTTCGCCTCCCATACTTCGCCATACTTGGCCCATAGTTCGCCCATAGTTCGAAAATTTAAAAAAAGTGTTTTTTTCGCCTCCCATACTTCGCCTTACTTGGCCCATAGTTCCCCCATATTTCGAAAATTTAAAAAAAGTGTTTTTTTCGCCTCCCATACTTCGCCATACTTGGCCCATAGTTCGCCCAAAGTTCAAAAATTAAAAAAAAGTTTTTTTTCGCCTCCCATACTTCGCCATACTTGGCCCATAGTTCGCCCATAGTTCGAAAAATTAAAAAAAAGTGTTTTTTTCGCCTCCCATACTTCGCCATACTTGGCCCATAGTTCGCCCATAGTTCGAAAATTTAAAAAAAAGTGTTTTTTTCGCCTCCCATACTTCGCCATACTTGGCCCATAGTTCGCCCATAGTTCGAAAATTTAAAAAAAGTGTTTTTTTCGCCTCCCATACTTCGCCATACTTGGCCCATAGTTCGCCCATAGTTCGAAAATTTAAAAAAAAGTGTTTTTTTCGCCTCCCATACTTCGCCATACTTGGCCCATAGTTCGCCCATAGTTCGAAAATTTTGAAAAAAGTGTTTTTTTCGCCTCCCATACTTCGCCATACTTGGCCCATAGTTCAAAAATTTAAAAAAAGTGATTTTTCGCTTCCCATACTTCGCCATACTTGGCCCATAGTTCGCCCATAGTTCGAAAATTTAAAAAAAAGTGTTTTTTTCGCCTCCCATACTTCGCCATACTTGGCCCATAGTTCGCCCATAGTTCGAAAATTTTAAAAAAAGTGTTTTTTTCGCCTCCCATACTTCGCCATACTTGGCCCATAGTTCGCCCATAGTTCGAAAATTTAAAAAAAAGTGTTTTTTTTCGCCTCCCATACTTCGCCATACTTGGCCCATAGTTCGCCCATAGTTCGAAAATTTAAAAAAAAGTGTTTTTTTCGCCTCCCATACTTCGCCATACTTGGCCCATAGTTCGCCCATAGTTCGAACATTTAAAAAAAAGTGTTTTTTTCGCCTCCCATACTTCGCCATACTTGGCCCATAGTTCGCCCATAGTTCGAAAATTTAAAAAAAGTTTTTTTCGCCTCCCATACTTTGCCATACTTGGCCCATAGTTCGCCCATAGTTCAAAAATTTAAAAAAAAGTGTTTTTTTGCCTCCTATACTTCGCCATACTTGGCCCATAGTTCGCCCATAGTTCAAAAATTTAAAAAAAAGTGTTTTTTTCGCCTCCCATACTTCGCCATACTTGGCCCATAGTTCGAAAATTTAAAAAAAAGTGTTTTTTTCGCCTCCCATACTTCGCCATACTTGGCCCATAGTTCGCCCATAGTTCGAAAATTTTGAAAAAAGTGTTTTTTTCTCCTCCCATACTTCGCCATACTTGGCCCATAGTTCGCCCATAGTTCAAAAATTAAAAAAAAGTGTTTTTTTCGCCTCCCATACTTCGCCATACTTGGCCCATAGTTCGCCCATAGTTCGAAAAATTAAAAAAAAGTGTTTTTTTCGCTTCCCATACTTCGCCATACTTGGCCCATAGTTCGCCCATAGTTCGAACATTTAAAAAAAAGTGTTTTTTTCGCCTCCCATACTTCGCCATACTTGGCCCATAGTTCGCCCATAGTTCGAAAATTTAAAAAAAGTTTTTTTTTCGCCTCCCATACTTCGCCATACTTGGCCCATAGTTCCCCCATATTTCGAAAATTTAAAAAAAGTGTTTTTTTCGCCTCCCATACTTCGCCATACTTCGCCCATAGTTCGCCCAAAGTTCAAAAATTAAAAAAAAGTTTTTTTTCGCCTCCCATACTTCGCCATACTTGACCCATAGTTCGAAAATTTAAAAAAAAGTGTTTTATTCGCCTCCCATACTTCGCCATACTTGGCCCATAGTTCGAAAATTTAAAAAAAAGTGTTTTTTTCGCCTCCCATACTTCGCCATACTTGGCCCATAGTTCGAAAATTTAAAAAAAGTTTTTTTCGCCTCCCATACTTCGCCATACTTGGCCCATAGTTCGCCCATAGTTCAAAAATTTAAAAAAAAGTGTTTTTTTCGCCTCCCATACTTCGCCATACTTGGCCCATAGTTCGCCCATAGTTCGAAAATTTAAAAAAAAGTGTTTTTTTCGCCTCCCATACTTCGCCATACTTGGCCCATAGTTCGCCCATAGTTCGAAAATTTTGAAAAAAGTGTTTTTTTCGCCTCCCATACTTCGCCATACTTGGCCCATAGTTCGCCCATAGTTCAAAAATTAAAAAAAAGTGTTTTTTTCGCCTCCCATACTTCGCCATACTTGGCCCATAGTTCGCCCATAGTTCGAAAATTTAAAAAAAAGTGTTTTTTTCGCCTCCCATACTTCGCCATACTTGGCCCATAGTTCGCCCATAGTTCGAAAATTTAAAAAAAAGTGTTTTTTTCGCCTCCCATACTTCGCCATACTTGGCCCATAGTTCGCCCATAGTTCGAAAATTTTGAAAAAAGTGTTTTTTTCGCCTCCCATACTTCGCCATACTTGGCCCATAGTTCGCCCATAGTTCAAAAATTAAAAAAAAAGTGTTTTTTTCGCCTCCCATACTTCGCCATACTGGGCCCATAGTTCGCCCATAGTTCGAAAATTTAAAAAAAAGTGTTTTTTTCGCCTCCCATACTTCGCCATACTTGGCCCATAGTTCGCCCATAGTTCAAAAATTTAAAAAAAAGTGTTTTTTTCGCCTCCCATACTTCGCCATACTTGGCCCATAGTTCGCCCATAGTTCGAAAATTTAAAAAAAAGTGTTTTTTTCGCCTCCCATACTTCGCCATACTTGGCCCATAGTTCGCCCATAGTTCAAAAATTTAAAAAAAAGTGTTTTTTTCGCCTCCCATACTTCGCCATACTTGGCCCATAGTTCGCCCATAGTTCGAAAATTTAAAAAAAAGTGTTTTTTTCGCCTCCCATACTTCGCCATACTTGGCCCATAGTTCGCCCATAGTTCGAAAATTTAAAAAAAAGTGTTTTTTTCGCCTCCCATACTTCGCCATACTTGGCCCATAGTTCGCCCATAGTTCGAAAATTTTGAAAAAAGTGTTTTTTTCGCCTCCCATACTTCGCCATACTTGGCCCATAGTTCGCCCATAGTTCGAAAATTTTGAAAAAAGTGTTTTTTTCGCCTCCCATACTTCGCCATACTTGGCCCATAGTTCGCCCATAGTTCGAAAATTTAAAAAAAGTTTTTTTCGCCTCCCATACTTCGCCATACTTGGCCCATAGTTCGCCCATAGTTCAAAAATTTAAAAAAAAGTGTTTTTTTCGCCTCCTATACTTCGCCATACTTGGCCCATAGTTCGCCCATAGTTCAAAAATTAAAAAAAAAGTGTTTTTTTCGCCTCCCATACTTCGCCACACTGGGCCCATAGTTCGCCCATAGTTCGAAAATTTAAAAAAAAGTGTTTTTTTCGCCTCCCATACTTCGCCATACTTGGCCCATAGTTCGAAAATTTAAAAAGAAGTGTTTTTTTCGCCTCCCATACTTCGCCATACTTGGCCCATAGTTCGAAAATTTAAAAAAAGTTTTTTTCGCCTCCCATACTTCGCCATACTTGGCCCATAGTTCGCCCATAGTTCGAAAATTTAAAAAAAAGTGTTTTTTTCGCCTCCCATACTTCGCCATACTTGGCCCATAGTTCGCCCATAGTTCGAAAATTTAAAAAAAAGTGTTTTTTTCGCCTCCCATACTTCGCCATACTTGGCCCATAGTTCGCCCATAGTTCGAAAATTTAAAAAAAAGTGTTTTTTTCGCCTCCCATACTTCGCCATACTTGGCCCATAGTTCGCCCATAGTTCGAAAATTTTGAAAAAAGTGTTTTTTTCGCCTCCCATACTTCGCCATACTTGGCCCATAGTTCGCCCATAGTTCAAAAATTAAAAAAAAGTGTTTTTTTCGCCTCCCATACTTCGCCATACTGGCCCATAGTTCGCCCATAGTTCGAAAATTTAAAAAAAAGTGTTTTTTTCGCCTCCCATACTTCGCCATACTTGGCCCATAGTTCGCCCATAGTTCAAAAATTTAAAAAAAAGTGTTTTTTTCGCCTCCCATACTTCGCCATACTTGGCCCATAGTTCGCCCATAGTTCGAAAATTTAAAAAAAAGTGTTTTTTTCGCCTCCCATACTTCGCCATACTTGGCCCATAGTTCGCCCATAGTTCAAAAATTTAAAAAAAAGTGTTTTTTTCGCCTCCCATACTTCGCCATACTTGGCCCATAGTTCGCCCATAGTTCGAAAATTTAAAAAAAAGTGTTTTTTTCGCCTCCCATACTTCGCCATACTTGGCCCATAGTTCGCCCATAGTTCAAAAATTTAAAAAAAGTGTTTTTTTCGCCTCCCATACTTCGCCATACTTGGCCCATAGTTCGCCCATAGATCGAAAATTTAAAAAAAAGTGTTTTTTTCGCCTCCCATACTTCGCCATACTTGGCCCATAGTTCGCCCATAGTTCGAAAATTTAAAAAAAAGTGTTTTTTTCGCCTCCCATACTTCGCCATACTTGGCCCATAGTTCGCCCATAGTTCGAAAATTTGAAAAAAGTGTTTTTTTCGCCTCCCATACTTCGCCATACTTGGCCCATAGTTCGCCCATAGTTCAAAAATTAAAAAAAAGTGTTTTTTTCGCCTCCCATACTTCGCCATACTTGGCCCATAGTTCGCCCATAGTTCGAAAATTTAAAAAAAAGTGTTTTTTTCGCCTCCCATACTTCGCCATACTTGGCCCATAGTTCGCCCATAGTTCGAAAATTTAAAAAAAAGTGTTTTTTTCGCCTCCCATACTTCGCCATACTTGGCCCATAGTTCGCCCATAGTTCGAAAATTTTGAAAAAAGTGTTTTTTTCGCCTCCCATACTTCGCCATACTTGGCCCATAGTTCGCCCATAGTTCAAAAATTAAAAAAAAGTGTTTTTTTCGCCTCCCATACTTCGCCATACTGGCCCATAGTTCGCCCATAGTTCGAAAATTTAAAAAAAAGTGTTTTTTTCGCCTCCCATACTTCGCCATACTTGGCCCATAGTTCGCCCATAGTTCAAAAATTTAAAAAAAAGTGTTTTTTTCGCCTCCCATACTTCGCCATACTTGGCCCATAGTTCGCCCATAGTTCGAAAATTTAAAAAAAAGTGTTTTTTTCGCCTCCCATACTTCGCCATACTTGGCCCATAGTTCGCCCATAGTTCGAAAATTTAAAAAAAAGTGTTTTTTTCGCCTCCCATACTTCGCCATACTTGGCCCATAGTTCGCCCATAGTTCGAAAATTTAAAAAAAAGTGTTTTTTTCGCCTCCCATACTTCGCCATACTTGGCCCATAGTTCGCCCATAGTTCAAAAATTAAAAAAAAGTGTTTTTTTCGCCTCCCATACTTCGCCATACTTGGCCCATAGTTCGCCCATAGTTCGAAAATTTAAAAAAAAGTGTTTTTTTCGCCTCCCATACTTCGCCATACTTGGCCCATAGTTCGCCCATAGTTCGAAAATTTAAAAGAAAGTGTTTTTTTCGCCTCCCATACTTCGCCATACTTGGCCCATAGTTCGCCCATAGTTCGAAAATTTTGAAAAAAGTGTTTTTTTCGCCTCCCATACTTCGCCATACTTGGCCCATAGTTCGCCCATAGTTCAAAAATTTAAAAAAAAGTGTTTTTTTCGCCTCCCATACTTCGCCATACTGGGCCCATAGTTCGCCCATAGTTCGAAAATTTAAAAAAAAGTGTTTTTTTCGCCTCCCATACTTCGCCATATTTGGCCCATAGTTCGCCCATAGTTCAAAAATTTAAAAAAAAGTGTTTTTTTCGCCTCCCATACTTCGCCATACTTGGCCCATAGTTCGCCCATAGTTCGAAAATTTAAAAAAAAGTGTTTTTTTCGCCTCCCATACTTCGCCATACTTGGCCCATAGTTCGCCCATAGTTCGAAAATTTAAAAAAAAGTGTTTTTTTCGCCTCCCATACTTCGCCATACTTGGCCCATAGTTCGCCCATAGTTCGAAAATTTTGAAAAAAGTGTTTTTTTCGCCTCCCATACTTCGCCATACTTGGCCCATAGTTCGCCCATAGTTCGAAAATTTAAAAAAAAGTGTTTTTTTCGCCTCCCATACTTCGCCATACTTGGCCCATAGTTCGCCCATAGTTCAAAAATTTAAAAAAAAGTGTTTTTTTCGCCTCCCATACTTCGCCATACTTGGCCCATAGTTCGCCCATAGTTCGAAAATTTAAAAAAAAGTGTTTTTTTCGCCTCCCATACTTCGCCATACTTGGCCCATAGTTCGCCCATAGTTCGAAAATTTAAAAAAAAGTGTTTTTTTCGCCTCCCATACTTCGCCATACTTGGCCCATAGTTCGCCCATAGTTCGAAAATTTTGAAAAAAGTGTTTTTTTCGCCTCCCATACTTCGCCATACTTGGCCCATAGTTCGCCCATAGTTCAAAAATTAAAAAAAAGTGTTTTTTTCGCCTCCCATACTTCGCCATACTTGGCCCATAGTTCGCCCATAGTTCGAAAATTTAAAAAAAAGTGTTTTTTTCGCCTCCCATACTTCGCCATACTTGGCCCATAGTTCGCCCATAGTTCGAAAATTTAAAAAAAAGTGTTTTTTTCGCCTCCCATACTTCGCCATACTTGGCCCATAGTTCGCCCATAGTTCGAAAATTTTGAAAAAAGTGTTTTTTTCGCCTCCCATACTTCGCCATACTTGGCCCATAGTTCGCCCATAGTTCAAAAATTAAAAAAAAAGTGTTTTTTTCGCCTCCCATACTTCGCCATACTGGGCCCATAGTTCGCCCATAGTTCGAAAATTTAAAAAAAAGTGTTTTTTCGCCTCCCATACTTCGCCATACTTGGCCCATAGTTCGCCCATAGTTCAAAAATTTAAAAAAAAGTGTTTTTTTCGCCTCCCATACTTCGCCATACTTGGCCCATAGTTCGCCCATAGTTCGAAAATTTAAAAAAAAGTGTTTTTTTCGCCTCCCATACTTCGCCATACTTGGCCCATAGTTCGCCCATAGTTCGAAAATTTAAAAAAAAGTGTTTTTTTCGCCTCCCATACTTCGCCATACTTGGCCCATAGTTCGCCCATAGTTCGAAAATTTAAAAAAAAGTGTTTTTTTCGCCTCCCATACTTCGCCATACTTGGCCCATAGTTCGCCCATAGTTCGAAAATTTAAAAAAAAGTGTTTTTTTCGCCTCCCATACTTCGCCATACTTGGCCCATAGTTCGCCCATAGTTCGAAAATTTTGAAAAAAGAGTTTTTTTCGCCTCCCATACTTCGCCATACTTGGCCCATAGTCCGCCCATAGTTCAAAAATTAAAAAAAAGTGTTTTTTTCGCCTCCCATACTTCGCCATACTTGGCCCATAGTTCGCCCATAGTTCGAAAATTTAAAAAAAAGTGTTTTTTTCGCCTCCCATACTTCGCCATACTTGGCCCATAGTTCGCCCATAGTTCGAAAATTTAAAAGAAAGTGTTTTTTTCGCCTCCCATACTTCGCCATACTTGGCCCATAGTTCGCCCATAGTTCGAAAATTTTGAAAAAAGTGTTTTTTTCGCCTCCCATACTTCGCCATACTTGGCCCATAGTTCGCCCATAGTTCAAAAATTTAAAAAAAAGTGTTTTTTTCGCCTCCCATACTTCGCCATACTGGGCCCATAGTTCGCCCATAGTTCGAAAATTTAAAAAAAAGTGTTTTTTTCGCCTCCCATACTTCGCCATATTTGGCCCATAGTTCGCCCATAGTTCAAAAATTTAAAAAAAAGTGTTTTTTTCGCCTCCCATACTTCGCCATACTTGGCCCATAGTTCGCCCATAGTTCGAAAATTTAAAAAAAAGTGTTTTTTTCGCCTCCCATACTTCGCCATACTTGGCCCATAGTTCGCCCATAGTTCGAAAATTTAAAAAAAAGTGTTTTTTTCGCCTCCCATACTTCGCCATACTTGGCCCATAGTTCGCCCATAGTTCGAAAATTTTGAAAAAAGTGTTTTTTTCGCCTCCCATACTTCGCCATACTTGGCCCATAGTTCGCCCATAGTTCAAAAATTAAAAAAAAAGTGTTTTTTTCGCCTCCCATACTTCGCCATACTGGGCCCATAGTTCGCCCATAGTTCGAAAATTTAAAAAAAAGTGTTTTTTTCGCCTCCCATACTTCGCCATACTGGGCCCATAGTTCGCCCATAGTTCGAAAATTTAAAAAAAAGTGTTTTTTTCGCCTCCCATACTTCGCCATACTTGGCCCATAGTTCGCCCATAGTTCAAAAATTTAAAAAAAAGTGTTTTTTTCGCCTCCCATACTTCGCCATACTTGGCCCATAGTTCGCCCATAGTTCGAAAATTTAAAAAAAAGTGTTTTTTTCGCCTCCCATACTTCGCCATACTTGGCCCATAGTTCGCCCATAGTTCGAAAATTTAAAAAAAAGTGTTTTTTTCGCCTCCCATACTTCGCCATACTTGGCCCATAGTTCGCCCATAGTTCGAAAATTTAAAAAAAAGTGTTTTTTTCGCCTCCCATACTTCGCCATACTTGGCCCATAGTTCGCCCATAGTTCGAAAATTTAAAAAAAAGTGTTTTTTTCGCCTCCCATACTTCGCCATACTTGGCCCATAGTTCGCCCATAGTTCGAAAATTTTGAAAAAAGTGTTTTTTTCGCCTCCCATACTTCGCCATACTTGGCCCATAGTTCGCCCA